ATAATTTATGACTGTGAGGGGCTTGGCATGAAACATCTTTGGAAGCCTGCTGTTGAGATATACGGTGAGGTAGGAACATGATGCTTTCAGTATAGCTTGGTCATTTTGAAGCCAAATAATTATAATAAGATACAAACAAAACAAAATCAAGACTTTGTAAAAGAGCATAATAGGACCCCTTTAACATTGCTCTAAATAATTGTTTGTATATTACTGTGACCTACTGTGACACATAGAGCAGGGGTGTCAAACTCAATTCCTGGAGGGCCGGAGCCCTGCAGAGTTTAGATTCAACCTTAAACACACCTGATCCATCTAATCAAGTCCTTCAGGCTTATTTGAAGACTACATGGTATGTGTGTTGGAGCAGGGTCCTAACATAGAGCTTTGGTGCATGAACTTGAATCCTTCTTTTTATTTGCCGGTCAATAGGTATATAAATTAATAAGAAATTATTTTAAAGAAATAGTTTACCTATATATGAAAATTTGCTGAAATTTTACTCACCCGCAGGCGATCCAAGATGGACGTTCATTTGTTTATTCATCAGAACAGATTTAGAGAAATTCAGCATTACATCACTTGCTCAGCAATGGATGCTCTGCAGTGAATGGGTGCCGTCAGAATGAGAGTCCAAACAGCTGATAAAAACATCACAATAATCCACACCACTCCAGTCCATCAATTAATGTCTTGTGAAGTGAAAAGCTGTGTTTGTAATATACAAATTAATATTTAAGGTGTTCTTTAAACCATTGTTTTATTGGCTAAAATATGAGTCAATAATATAATCTCCAGTGAAAATGTCATCTCATCTGAATCAGGAGAGAAATCTGCACAGATCAAGCACCGTTTACAAGAGAAAACAGTTCAGAGCAGTTCTAAATAAATATGTTGGTGGATTTTGATGTGGCAACAGAGGTTGGACTTTTTCACTGGAGTGTTATTATGGATTATGGCTCATAATTTGTCCAGAAGCGATGGTTTAAAGTTAAAGTGCCTTAATGATGGATTTGTTTCTTATAAATTGCGTGGATTACTTGTGAATTATTGTGAGGCTTTTATCAGCTGTTTGGACTCTCATTCTGACGGCACCCATTCACTGCAGAGGATCCATTGCTGAGCAAGTGATGGAATGCTACATTTCTCCAAATCTGTTCTGATGAACAACAAAACTCATCTACATCTTGGATAGCCTGAGGGTGATTAAATTGTCAGCAAATTTTCATTTCACTCATTTTAAGGCACCATTTTACAGTCTCAAATTAAATATGGTATCTTCCATTAATAAGATCCATCTTAACATCTAAAACTGTCGTATTGTGATATTATCTTTGGCTTTTCATCCAATTTATCTCCTGCAGATTCTGACTATGTTTGAGGAGAACTATCCAGAGAACCTAAAAAAGGTGCTTTTAATCAGAGGTGAGTAATCGTTGCACCAGTTAAATTACATCACTGTGAGATTGTTTAATAATAAACAGTTCTGAAATTCTTCTTTCTACAGCCCCTAAACTATTCCCTATTGCATATAACTTGGTCAAACACTTTTTGCGTGAGGAAACAAGGCAGAAGATTGCTGTCCTGGGTTGTAAGTTGTCTAGTTAAGACAAACATCACGATACTGTTGACTTTGGTGTGTAACTCATCCTGCATGAATGACACCTCATGAATGGCCATTTCTCTTGCGATCTCCACCTTCCAGCAAACTGGAAAGAGGTGTTGAGTAACTATGTGGATGCAGATCAGTTACCTGCGGTTTACGGGGGATCCATGACTGATCCTGATGGAAACCCTCTCTGTAAGACCATGGTGAGGTTTACTAGTGAACAGGAGATTACCACTTCAAATAGGAATACAAAATTTGGGGTCAATCTTTAAAAAAAAGAATTAAGAAATTAGTTTTTATTCAGTGAGGATGCATTAAATTGGACAAAAGTGACATTTAAGTGATACAAAAGATTTCTATTTCAAATAAATGCTGAACTTTCTGTTCATCAAAGAATCCAGAAAAAAAATGTAGTCCAAAAAAAGCAGTAATATTAGTAATAAGAAGCAGCAAATCAGTATATTAGAATGATTTCTAAAGGATCATGTGACACTGAAGACTGGAGTAATGATGCTGAAAATTCAGCTTTGCATCACAGGAATAAATTGCATTTTAAAATATATTACAATAGAAAACAGTTCTTTTAAATAGTAATAATATTTCACAATATTACAGGTTTTTATGTATTTCTGAACAAAAAAATGCAGCCTTGGTGACCATAAGAGTCTTATTTCAAAAACATTAAAAATCTTACTGACCCCCCAAACTTTTGAATGGTAGTCCATTCAGAATACCAATATTTAGTTGTCTTTACTCATCTGACGTCTTCCTCTCAGTTACGTTATGGTGGCGTAGTGCCGAAGTCGTACTATGTGCGGGACTCCATCAAAGTGAAGTATGACCAGTTTATCACAATTAGCCGTGGCTCCTCGTACCAGCTAGATTATGAGGTGCTCTTTCCAAACTGCGTACTACGGTAAGTACCATTTCTAAGTGCTAATAGTTATGCATAATTGTTTCGCAAAATAGCATGCAATATACTCCATATGTATGCTACTATTTGAACATAGCCTGTCTTCTTTCTTTTGTGGTCAAACTAGTTTTTTTCTCAATCTAGATGGCAGTTTGCAAGTGAGGGGTCTGATATTGGTTTTGGACTTTTCCTGAAGACAAAAGGGAATGAGACCAAGAAAGCAGAAGCCATGCAGGAAATACTGGCTACCGAACGTTACAATTCCCACCTAGTTCCAGAAGATGGATCCTACACCTGCGAGGAATCAGGCATCTGTACGTTTGTTTTGAATTTGACATTTGAGTTTTTTATGGAAGCTTGTTTCCAAAGGTATTTGAGCTTTTTATCTCACAATTCAGACTTTTTTTCTCAAAATTCTGAGAATTGCGAGATATAAAGTCAGATAGAAGATGGATCCTACACCTGCGAGGAATCAGGCATCTGTACGTTTGTTTTGAATTTGACATTTGAGTTTTTTATGGAAGCTTGTTTCCAAAGGTATTTGAGCTTTTTATCTCACAATTCAGACTTTTTTTTAAAATAGGTTTGTCCCTATTTTACCCAGCACTGGGTTATATTTAACCCAGCATTTTTTAGAGTGTGAGATTTAAAAAATCACAATTCTGAAAAAAAGAAAGAAAAGTCTGAATTGTGAAATAAAAAGTCGCAATTACCTTTTTTATTTTTTTATCTTGTGGCAGAAACAAGCTTCCATAGTTTTTGGTGCTATAACAATCTCTTTTTCTCTATAGATGTGGTACGTTTTGACAACACTTACAGTGTGCTTCATTCAAAGAAAGTCAGCTTCACCGTGGACGTGCTTCTACCTGAAGGACATACAGGAAAACAGGCATAAAACTCGACTGGAATCAGACTTTGTCATATATCCATTAGCATTAGATAAGATTACTCATGTCCTTACATCACCAGTGAAATGCATGGACTTTGAGCACACTGTTTAAACACAGGAAATCAGAACTACTAGATTACTGTTTTTTTAATTTCAAAGTTTTTAGATAATTATGCTCTCTGTAAGCTAATTATTATAGATGGTTATTAAAAATCGATTGTGTGCAAGCAGTTCCTAAAGGATGTTGTATGAACCGTTTCCAGTATTTGAATTACTATTGTGTATGACAAATGGAAGCAGTGTAGACTGATTGGGACTGTAAAGCATAACATATTTGGTCAGCAGACACTTTCCTTAATGTGAAATAATTAGGAATCTAGAATATTGAGAATATCTCTCAATGAATAGGACACTGAATTACAGCAATTATAATACAACCGAACTCATGTCCGCGCATTTAATGGGTAAATCCTTCTGTAATAGCAAGATTATAGTAATCCTTGAAATATTTCGTTATTGCAGCCACTTCTATCGTTTTTGAGAATGTTTTAAATGTGCACATAATTATTCTCTAATCTGAGAATAAAATGCATTTAAGAAAACACACTATGTTGATGAGCTCATGTTTATTTGTAACACTAGAGGACGCACTTGCATCATATTTTACCGAGGTCGCAATGCAGTGACGTCAAGAGACACAATGACATTGATTTTACACTCTTCCATTAACAACAAATCCACCGATGTGTTACATTATGGCAGTTTATTTACTTTTCATTATTATTCTTACACGATGATAGTATTTATTCTACTGCTTTTATTTTATACTGATAATGAAAAATAATTAAAAAAATTGTACTCATTATTTAAGCATTAAAATAAAGGAACTGAGGTTGAAAATATGATTGTCATTAAATTACTATATTACTGATCATATATATATATATATATATATATATATATAGTTTTATTTAAAAAAAATTACCATTTAATTTTGTCATGAAATTCAAGGGGACACTGGGCTCGTATAACACACTTACATTATGGCAGTTTATTTACTTTTCATTATTATTCTTACACGATGATAGTATTTATTCTACTGCTTTTATTTTATACTGATAATGAAAAATAATTAAAAAAATTGTACTCATTATTTAAGCATTAAAATAAAGGAACTGAGGTTGAAAATATGATTGTCATTAAATTACTATATTACTGATCATATATATATATATATATATATATATATATAGTTTTATTTAAAAAAAATTACCATTTAATTTTGTCATGAAATTCAAGGGGACACTGGGCTCGTGCTATTACATAACACACACAAAAAAGGCAAATGAAGACAGAAGAAAAAAAAAAGTTTAATCGTAAACCTGTTAGATGCTTAGATTTATTTAAACGTATTACCACAATTTATCATAAATAATTACTACCTTATAATGCCATGAGACGTTTATCTTTAAAGCCCAAACATTGTGTATTTTAAATAAGAACTCGCACGCATACATTAGTTTAACTCCAGATTGTTCCTAATTATGAAAGTGGGCGTTGCGCAATTTTGCATTATGCAAATAAGGGGGCGGGGCCCGCTTGTGGCAGCGATGACGTGACGTAAGGTCCAGCCTTGCGGAGAGAGCGCAACAAACATGGCGACAGAGCGGAGCGGACAGGGGTGTCTTCTAACTTTCATCGTGTTCCTCTGGAGCTCTGTCGGCGGGCGGACGGAGACGTCGAGCCCCGGCTCCAGCAGTCAGATCCTGGGCATGCGGCTGGAGAGGAGCGAAAAAGCGGCCAGCACGACGGAGGACGGGGTCATCCAGGTAACGGAGGAGAGCAGCGTCGTGCTCAGGTTTTATGGGGTGCACCTGAGCCCGGACGCAGCATCCCACATCAGGTTCACAGAGTATGTGAATACGGGTGACAGTGACGAATTAAACAGGACTTGTGAGGATTTCACCAAAGACCTGAGCATCAGCACCTTCATGAACGTGAGCAACAGAGGGACGTCAGGTCTGGTGAGTGTGTATGTGAAGCCACTGCGTAAGAGTGAACGAGAAAAGACCTACAGCCTATGTGTCAGGCAGGGTTTGGGAGACAAATGGGTCCAGTTGGGTGAAAATGATGGAAGATTGTTAGTCATAGAGGAGAAAGAAACTTTTCTACCTCTTTGGTTCCAAATCATCCTGATTTCAGGTTTGCTGGTGCTGTCCGGCATGTTCAGTGGGCTCAACCTGGGGCTCATGGCGTTGGATCCAATGGAGCTTCGCATTGTACAAAGCTGTGGAACTAATAAGGAAAAGAAGTATGCGCGAAAAATCGAACCTATTCGAAGCAAGGGCAACTATCTGCTTTGCTCTTTATTGTTGGGTAACGTGCTGGTCAACACAACTTTGACGATCCTGCTAGATGATTTGATTGGGTCGGGGTTGGGAGCCGTGGTGGCATCTACTGTTGGCATTGTCATATTTGGTGAAATCGTGCCACAAGCGCTGTGCTCACGCCACGGTTTGGCCGTAGGCGCCAACACCATCGTGTTGACCAAATTTTTCATGCTCCTGACCTTCCCATTGTCATTCCCCGTCAGTAAACTCTTGGACTGCGTTCTCGGGCAGGAAATTGGCACCGTCTACAACCGTGAGAAGCTGGTGGAGATGCTGAAGGTCACCGAACCCTACAACGACCTGGTGAAAGAAGAACTGAACATCATACAAGGTGCTCTGGAACTCCGAACCAAGACGGTTGAGAATGTGATGACGCCTCTGAGCAACTGCTTCATGATTCACATTGACACCGTGCTCGACTTTAATACCATGTCTGAGATCATGGAAAGCGGCTACACGCGGATACCCGTGTATGATGCCGAGCTCTCCAACATCGTGGACATCCTGTACGTCAAAGACCTGGCCTTCGTTGACCCCGACGACTGCACGACGCTTAAAACGGTCACCAAGTTCTACAACCACCCGGTGCATTTCGTCTTCCACGACACTAAGTTGGATGCCATGTTGGAGGAGTTTAAGAAAGGTTAGTGGTTTTGAAAGTTTAAAAAGAACCTGCTGTGCTCACAGGAAGCAAAGGCTTTGGCTCCATGCAGTTGTTTTCATCCTCCTATTGATTATGATGGGTGCTCAAATTCCCCCTGAGAGCCGAATCAATAACCATATGCTCCCTGTATCAGCCTCTGATCAATATGAAGCTCTTCTAGAAAAGACGGAGGTATCCCATGCTGCCAAAAACACCTGATGCTCATAAAAAATACATGCCAACATCCAGTCCACCCGAGTTTGCACACTCACTCTGATGTCCTACCACTTTTACCTTCAGATTTGGGGCCGTAACCACCATAGAAATTTAGGGAGACGTGTTTCCCCTCAATATTCAGATTAGTACTTGTTAATGTTCATCCATTAAAGATGTTGGTAACACTTTACAGGTTTTATTTGTTAACATGAGTTAACTACATCAGTTAACATGAACTAACCATTAACAAAACTAATATAGCATGTATTCATCTTAATTAATCTCAACATTTACTAATACATTTTTCATTTCAAAAAGTTGTATCTGGTTACATTAGTAAGCGCACTGTGAACAAACTTGGTTATCTACCATTAATAAAGGTTAATAAATGCTGTAAAAATATATTGCTTGTTGTTAGTTAACTAAATGTAATTGCATTATGAACTGTTAAAATGTATGCTCGGGGTTATTATAGTTAGCTAAAACTTAAACTAAAATGAAAACCATAAAAAAAAAATCAGCTAGTAACCCAGGCAACATTTTTTATATATATATATATATAGAAACTGCTAAAAATTACTAAGCATGTAACTAAAATGAAAACATATGGTAATAAAAATATATCTGTATAGTTTATGATATATAATTGATATTAACATCTCAGTGATAACATTGCATATACCTTATATGCAAAGAAAATAATACGTGTCTGCCAAATGCATGAATGTTAATATTTTATTTCACTTTATTGACTTTAATCATAACAATTATGCTGGTTTAATTTTTGTACAAACTGTTGAAGCACATTTTGCCCCAGAGTATTGATGTTTGATTAAAGATGAGTTGGATGGGCGGTGTTTTAAAATGATTGGTGGTTTGAAGTTCATCCCACTGCATTTTTCCTCTCCCAATCACTGCAGCACTGCAGAGGTGCCACAGAGAGACAAAAGCAATGTGACAGGCACTGTATTGTCCAGAATGTCAACTCAGGACATTGCTTTTGCTGCATTTGATGATAAATTTGTAGAAACTCTCCAAACCCTATTCAAATGTGTTTTACTATTTGTTTAAAATGAGCTCCGCTGAGATATGAATGTATGGAAAAAAGCTTATGAGTATGCAAATAAGTAAATATGGGTGGTTTGCTAAATGCCGATCCCTCAGGAACACTGGAGTGTATTTCAGCAACAAAATATTAGCTCTTCTCTTAAGCAGTCTGCTTGTCTGATGCTTTTTGTATTATAAAATAAGGCTTGATCTTACTCTAAATCCCTGGATTTCGGAAATAAATTGGCATATTTCCTCTATTTAAGGTCACTTATTAGAGATACATGATATAATTTTAGTCATTAAAAAAAAGTGTTTAGGGTTAGTGATGTGAATAAAAGTTTTAAGCTTTTTTTTATTTAGAAGCATGTTTTAATGCCTGATTTTACTTGTATTTTAAATATAGTTCAAAGCTTTAGTGGGGAAAAACATGCATTAACATATAACAAAAAATAATAATTGGTTGTCGGTGTTGGTCAGAACTTCTGTATTGGTCCGTCCATTTATTTTGGTTCAGATTTGAGCATTAAGTGTTGTACAAATTCAATATTATACAGCTTTTGTCCAGTAGTGTTGATTGGCTCTGTGTAGTAAATGCCGCTCCATCTGAAAGCAGATGATTTACTACTAATCACGGAACCGGCTTTACTGACGAGATGCGCATGACAATCGCATGCAATTAATTGCTCTGCCCTAGTCTAGACATGAGATTACCCATGGAAATGTAATTGATTTATTAATTGGTTCAGTTGATTTATTGATCTAGGCTTTCCCAAAAGTATCATAAGCTTAAGTAGATCATTGAGATTATTGGTGCCAATTCGGGATGTAACGATGCACGTCGAGCTGGTTGAAATCGATAAAAACGGTTGAGTCGGTTGAGATATTAAACGAATTGCGACAAAATTAGGGGTGAGTCCTCTGAGGAGAACTGACTGATTTCAGAAAAGTTTAGATGGTATTTTATTTTCATCTTGCCTCTGTAAAATGCATATTGAATATTTATAAGTGCAGCGCTGCTTTGTTTACAGCATCGCCGCTGTTCCATAAGCGCCACCTGCTGGCAGAGAGTGAATTTGTGTTCTCATTCAACCCTGTCTGCTGTTTTTGTTTCGTGCAGATATGATTTATGTAGTATAGTTTCACAACGCTGAAGTCAAACCATTCTGTTTCTGCTTCAAATTTCAATATTATGCAATCTAGTTTAAATCAACAACTGCTCATTCTGCATGTATGCTGCGTCCAATTGCTTCTAATTTTAAAGGGAAAGAGCAAAGGCAAAAGCCTTAAGGCTGATTTATACTTCTGCGTCGGACCTACGCCGAAGGCTATGCGTCAGTTTTCATTTATACTTCTGCGTCGTCGTCCGCGTCAACGTGCAGTACACATGCAAACCGCTAGAATGCAGTGTCCATGGGCATGTTGCTGGTGTAACCCTCAATACCACGACGAAAGCAGAAGAATAAGCAACTCGTCGGAGAAGCATTATAGCAGTGAAGGCAGTAAATATCAAATCATTAAATCATTATTTAAAACTACAAAAAGGAGACAACAACGGAACAGGAGATGATGGCATTCTTTCGATCTGCACAAGGACTTGTACCACGGCAGATCAACATTGTTGCGGACAACTATTGATGTATAATGCTATGTAGTATAACAAATGATAAGACGCTTGTTCTTTGCTTTGTTTTATTTTATATAAGAAGGTGTAACATTAAAATATATTAAAGTGCACATAAACACACAAAACTCAAGTACATATGGAGGGAGGGGTTCTTGCAGACCAATCACAGCGCTTGCGGTCCGCGTAGAATTGACGCTCTGTTCGATTTTTGGAGAGGTGCACGTCAGGCTACGGCGTATGGGTGCGCGTCTATGCGTAAGCTACGGCGTAGGTTCGACGCAGAAGTATAAATTGGGCTTAAGTTTGCTAATATGATGCGATTTATTTTATTTGTAACATTTTATTTGATTTGAGATTTGTTTTAAAATTTCAATTTAGTTTAATTTTGTTTTTACATATTTCAATTTCACCAAGAAATGTGCAGCATTTTGTCTGAGAAATAATTAAAGACACCTTATTTATAATTTGTCTTAAATCTCATTTTGTAGAAAAATCAAATGCAATAGTGAGAAAATAGTATCGTGAAATCAGTATCGTGAATGCATCACGAGTTGAGTGAATCATTATATTCCTAGTGATACCTGGGCTTATGATGCTTTTGGGAAACAAGTTACGCATTGGTTGAGAGATTAATAATTTTTTTGCCTTCTAGCTGACAATAGTAACAGAAAGAAAGTGGATCCCAATAAGAACAAGAGGGACTTTTCTGCTTTCAAACATGAGAGGGAATCCCAAAGCAAAATATCGCCTCAACTAATGCTAGCAGCGCATCGTTTCCTCGCTACTGGTGAGCTATTGCATCTATAAGGCGCTGATTATCACCTCTCTTTCAGCATTTGTTATTGCAAATAACAGCCGATCTTTGTTGTTGCCCATCTTTCCACAGAGGTGAGCCTTTTCAATCCGCTCCAGATTTCAGACAAGGTCTTACTGCGTATCCTCAAGCACCCGGATGTCATTCAGGAGATTAAGTTCAACGAGAACGACAAGCGCTCGCAACAGCACTATTTATATCAGCGCGGAAAACCTGTCGACTTTTTCGTCCTTATCCTTCAGGTAAGTAAAACTTGACTGGTAGGCCTGCGTGGAGAATTCAGCTGGAAGCTCTGTAGACTCTGGCAGAATTTGAACACCCACAAATATCTACACATCTCTCCTGCATGTGTGTTATTAAATATTTAGATGGGTTTGAAAATGCTTTCAGCTGCCAGTAAAAGTGCCTTTAAGTCAAAACAGAAAGTGGGCTAATTCCTTCAGTAATCAGTCACATGTTAGTTGAGCTTGCAAAAGACAAATATCACTATTACTATTGCTTAAACTGCTATTGCTTCTTGAGGATGTCTGTGCTAATACTTATAATGAATGATCACGTTTATGATTTTCATATGATGGGAGATAAACAGAAGATATTTTTTTAAAAATGTTTGTTTTCAGTTTTAATTTCAGATATCAAATCATTTGCAAGTAACCGTGGTTATTAGTTTGTTTAATTTTTAAACACATTTTGTTAATTATTTAAATAAATAAATTTATAATAGATTTAAATATAAATTTATATATCAAAGTATAAGAAAACAAAAATATGCTGTTAAAAATAGGATGATTTACAATGAGGTTCACTTCGTTAACATTAGTCAGTTATCAAAGGACAGTGGATTTTTACAGCATTTATTAATCTAGGTTAATTTAGAAATATACTATTGTTAATGTATTATGAACAAACATAAATTATCTAATGCTAATTTATACAACTAGAAATATATTTATAAATGTATGTATTTCTAAATATATAAAAAAATGTTAGTATATATAAAAATGAGCTTAACCTAGATTATTTAAAAAAATACCTCAGACTTTCATTCAAGGAATGATCTGCAGTGCTGCCAGTTTGGGGATTTTGTCACCAAATGTATCAACTTCCTCATTGTTGATGTGACTTTTAGTGATGTTTTGCGACAAGGAGCTATTTTGGCTATTTTTCTCATTTTTTATTAACAAAAAAACACAATTTTCGCTGTTCTCTCGTTATAATTTCACATGTAAATATATCTGAAAACACAGCCGTTACCTTTAACTTATGTGTATGGTGATTTTGTTAGACGATGCTTTGTTTATAAATCCAGAAAATTGAAATAGGCTGTATAAAAATAATGATTCCATGAATATGCTAATTAGTGTATGGCATCATCTGTGACAATTAGCAACTTAGCTGGACATTGTGGCTGTTAAGGTGTTCTAGGTTGTTAGGCTAGTTCTATGTATTGGCAATAACCCAGAACAGCCTAGCAACTGCATAGCAACACCCTGGCAACCATTCAGAAATCCCTATTATCCTTGTTGCGATTTGTATTCGAAACAAACATGTTTAAAGTTAATAATATAACCTTTTTAATAATGAACTGTCTAGTAATGTGTTACTGCATTCGAGAGTTTGGATGATTTGAGAGAAGGAGGAAAGGTCAGAGAAGTTGCCTGTTCCCCAGGGCTGCTACCATGTGATTCACCCATTGCATCCCATGTAACCCCTCACCATTTGACCTTGTGCAGGGGACCCGATCCCTGTGACATTGCTCCAGGGATGTCAGTTGTACAACTATCCGCAAATGTCTCTCTCTGCCTGTCATTGGTCAGAATTGTGAGTCGAGGATTAGATGTCCAAAAATAGACCCGATTTTTTTTTTTGAAGAAAACATGAGTGTTGCTTTCCCGTGCAAAACTCGCTGCCATGATGCCAGGGTGTTTTGAATGGTTACCAGGGCATTGCTATGTAGTTACTAGGTTGTTTTAGGTGGTTTCCACGGCATTGCCTTGTGGTTGCTACTAGGATGTTTTGGGTCAAGACCACTGATCTATAATAGAGAACATATAAGTCATATATAGATCAGTGGTCAAGACCTAGAACTAGCCTAGCAACCTAGAACACCATAACAACCACATAGCAATGCCTTGTGTGCTCCTAGTGTGTTGTCTAGTGTTTTAGGTGGTTGCCAGGGTGTTGCTATGTGGTTTCTAGGGTGTTTTAACCCTCTGGTGCTGCTCATGTGGCGGTCAAAAATGACCAATTTTTTATTATTATTATTTCAATGAAATAAATGTCCTATATTTTAGTTTGATAATGTTTTTTATTTCATATTTTGTATTTTATGGGATGTTATGGTACAAAAATATATTTATGGAATAGTTATGATCCATTACTACCACTACCACTTTTTGAGCGTAGATCTGAAAATGAAATTTTCCAACCTAAACTCATAAATCTTGAATGCTTTGGAGTGCATACTTAATTTTGATCTCTTTTTTTAAGATGACTCTTGGCAGATTATTGCTGAAGTGAAAAAAAAAAGTTGAAAAAATTGTTTCGTTTTTTTATCACAAAAATACAGTATTTAAATTTTATATGAAATGTATATTTTCCAAAACATGTTTTACTCTAAAACTGAGAAAATCAAAGCCATAAATCTATACAAGTTGTGTTTTAAATTTGAGGTTGATATTGCAAAAAAAGGAAGGTTTTGTTTGGGCGCAGTACCAAACGTTTCCACTAGATGAAATTCGCTGTACATTCATTTCCAATGCAGACATTTTTGGCCATGAACATTACAAGTGTGACTGTTTCAGGATCATTTAACCTTTCCAAATCATGTCCATGATTCTTTTTTTGTGTTCACATAGCAAGTGCCAAAACCTAACTAGTACTATTTCATACTATTTTCGTACTGTTCATGCTAAAGGTCCTTGCACACCGAGCCTGAAATTTTCATCCGAAATATATGCACGTTAAAAAAATTAATACGAACTCAAGTTCTGTCAATCATGTTTACACACTGCCTCCGAAACTTTCGTCATAAAAAAATTCGGAAAGGGTTCGATATTCTGCGTTTTTCGCATCCGTAATAGTAATGTTTTGCGACAAGGAGCTATTTTGGCTATTTTTCTCATTTTTTATTAACAAAAAAACACAATTTTCGCTGTTCTCTCGTTATAATTTCACATGTAAATATATCTGAAAACACAGCCGTTACCTTTAACTTATGTGTATGGTGATTTTGTTAGACGATGCTTTGTTTATAAATCCAGAAAATTGAAATAGGCTGTATAAAAATAATGATTCCATGAATATGCTAATTAGTGTATGGCATCATCTGTGACAATTAGCAACTTAGCTGGACATTGTGGCTGTTAAGGTGTTCTAGGTTGTTAGGCTAGTTCTATGTATTGGCAATAACCCAGAACAGCCTAGCAACTGCATAGCAACACCCTGGCAACCATTCAGAAATCCCTATTATCCTTGTTGCGATTTGTATTCAAAACAAACGTGTTTAAAGTTAATAATATAACCTTTTTAATAATGAACTGTCTAGTACTGTGTTACTGCATTCGAGCAAGGTTTCTGTGTGTGACAAATTTTTAGGATGACGAATATGAAAAAACGCATACAAAAATTTCGGACTCAGTGTGCAAGAACCTTAATTCTAAAATAAAAAAAATAAAAAAAGTAACATTTCAAAAATGACCAAATAACACCAGACGGTCAAGTGGTTATCAAAGCATTGCAATACGGTTGCTAGGGTATTCCAGGTGGTTGCTAGGTGCTTTCTTACTGCCACTCTGTAGTCATCTTTAGATATGACTTGGGTCAATTCTTCAATTTAATTAAATTCAGTTGCTTTCTTTTCTTTTTCTTTGTGTGCTGTCAAATCGATTAATCGCGATTAATCGCATACAAAATAAAAAAAGTTTGTTAACAAACACACACATTTAAGAAATATTTACATGTGTGTGAATCTATATATATATATATATATATATATATAGCATATATTTCTTAAATATATACGTGTATGTGTGTGTATTTATATATCGCAATTAATCGATTTGACAGCACTACTTTCTTTTTTTTTTGTGCCTGTTTTATTGTTTGCCAAGCAAAAATTACAAGTCTGATCACTTGGAGAAGTAACCGCACACCTCTCTGCACATTTTGAGGCATTGTTCATATTCTTACACTGTCAGGGAAAAAAAAGGTACAAAATCTGTAACTGGGGTTGGTACCTTTACAAAAATATGTACCATTAAGGTGCTAATATGCACCCTTTAGGAATAAATAAGGTACCGCCCCAGTGACAGTTTTGCCCCTCGGCCACGGCGTCCTGGTGTAGAGTTGCACAGACGGGTCTGTTGGGAGCGTCTGTGACCTCACTGGAGGTTTAGCTAGAAGAGGCCCTGCATCAGACAGGCCTGTCCTTCACTAATTGATCCCTCTTACATAAGAAAGGGATCCTGAGCATAGCAGCTCTAATCCCACCCCCTTTCTGCCAGCAACACACACACACACACGCAATTGAATGCACAACCAATCAAAGCTGTGCACTGTCCATGCCCTCTTTTTGTGAAACAGTCCAATCAGAGGCGAGATTGATGGAAAAACTCTTGGATATCCATGCTACAGCAAGCTAATGATACATATATAGATACTGAGTTACTGACTCATATTTGAACTATGTACAAAGATCAACACAATAGCGTGACCTTTAACCTCTCGCATACTTTCCAGTCATCTGAATTGAATATATGTGCGGCAGCTTACTTAACATCAAGGTCAAAGTAGAACGAGCTGTGATAGGTCACGGGGCCGACGTGGCGCACGGGCCCCCGGGGATCAGTCAATCAGATCCTGGATTTGGTGTGTGCTCGGCGGGGGGTCAGCCAGGAGAAGGTTAACACTTTCAGAACCTCAGTGTGAGAGTGTTTATCACAGTCGTAATCATCCCCGCGGCACAATGTCATGCGGAGCACAAACGCCATGTGTCAGGGAACATTACGTCACACTGGCCATCAAACCGCATGTCCGCTTAAATTCACCAAACTCCTGCGGCTTACTTACAAATGCTAATTTTCCGGATTAAACCTGCTTCTATTTTAAGTTTCAAAATGATTTCAAATGTAATAGATAATCAAATATATTGATGAAATTATGAAACCGAATTTTCAAAATGATAAAATATAAAATAAATTATAGAATCTGTAATATATAACATATATTTAAAAAAAGAACAATAATTGTGTATTGTTTTGATTGTTTTATTTTTAATTATATTTGATCATTTCTTATACTTCTATTTAAATAAAAATAAAAAATAGATTTTATATATATAGTTTTATTTAAATATTCAGTGTGTGTGTGTGTGTATATATATATATATATGTGTGTGTATATTATTTTTTTATTTATTTATGTATTTGTTAGAGTAATCAAATTACAATTTGTTAACATCTGTTAAATAGCAAATTACTTAATCTAATTAAGATAAATATTTGTTTTATATTTAAATATTTCTAATAAATTTATAGATAATATAATTTCTTATACTTCTATTTAAATATATATACATACATTTAAATATTTTTAATGTTTTTAATAAATAAATATATTAGTATGTAATAAATATTTTAGTAAGTGAATGATTGTCTTCTGGTTTTAGTACATTTAGTAATTTTGTAAGTTTTAGTTATTGATGAGTGATGATTTGTTGGAAGTACTTTTCTTATTATTATCAATGTTGAAAATTGTTTTTGCTGCTTAATATTTTTGTGGAAACTGATGTATTTTTTGTTTTCAGGATTCTTTGATGAATATAAAGTTCAAAAGAATGACATTTATTTGAAATGGAAATCTTTGGTAACATTATAAATGTCTTTATTGTTACTTTTGATCAATTTAATCCATCCTCACTAAATAAAAGTATTAATTTCTTTAAAAAAAAATAATAATAATAATTCTGGCACCAAACTTCTGGTACTGGTACTGTATATAATTTTGGAGATTTGTTTAGTAGTAGTGATCAATTTAATCCATCCTCACTAAATAAAAGTATTAATTTCTTTAAAAAAAATAATAATAATAATTCTGGCACCAAACTTCTGGTACTGGTACTGTATATAATTTTGGAGATTTGTTTAGTAGAAGTAGAAGTAATAGTATTTCTGTCAATAATTTGTATTTGCTCAAGTATACAAACACAGTGTCAGGTTTAACACCTTTTTTGTTTTGTTTTATGAAACTCGATTTGGCTCTGGTTTGCTGGCGTAACAGAAAGCAGCAAAGTTGTTTGTGTTTGGACTGTCTACCTGAATATAGACACCAGAGCAGAGGAGACTCAGATAGAGTGACAGGATCCGTGTGTCGTGAAATCCGAGCGCCGCAGATCCGGTTACCTTTTTCTGAAAATGAGAGGAAAGGTTGACTCTCCATTGGGATGGAAAATGGGGCAAATATGACGCCTGAGACATTGGAAAATGTATGCGTTTGCTCGAATGTGGTGTGACACAGAACTGGTTTCAAACTACTAAAAGTACTGACCTCACACCGAGTTTCGGTTGGGTTTTGTGTCATTCGTCTTTAATTATGGAGACCGGTTGTTCTTCAAGGAAACCGGTTAAGATTTCAAAATAAGATGCATTTGACTTAAATGTTTTGTTTTTAAAGTGTTTTTAAAAATGCTGTTCAATTATTTAAGAACAAACCATTGGGGGTTCTTGAGGGCTTTCAGTATCTTGAAGGACAACACGCAAAAGCTACGAAGGTTTTATTGCCAATGCATTTATTTGATTACATTTTGTTCTCATTTCTCGGTTCTCATTTATGTGGTTGTCTTTATGATTGTCTTCAATTTATTCTTCAAATATATACAGCAAAATGTCCTGCACAATTGACTTTTCTAACTAATTAACTCACACCTGTCTTTCAGGGTCGGGTGGAAGTTGAGGCTGGAAATGAGAATATGATGTTTGAGACGGGTCCTTTCTCTTATTATGGAGTCATGGCACTGACAACATGCCTGGGTGAGTATTTTACCTTGCTATTTTATCTCTAATTTTATCTACTCAAAAAATGTGAAACATCCCCACCTAAAGAAATTGTTTATTTAAAGGGACGGTCCACCCTAAAAAAAAAAATTGTCGTCATTTACTCACCCATGTGTCAATCATGTATCATCTTTTTATGGAGGCTTGAAAGCTTCTCAGTCATTGTAACTGCATGGAAAAGAGCAACCAGCACAGTTTAAGATGAGTAAATGCTAACAGAATTTTTAAATATGATTTATGAATGCATTTGAGTTTTCTGAATAAGGCTGATTTATGGTAACAATGATGTGTCTGTTGATTTGTTTGCTTCCCAGCGTTAGTTTAAGTAATGGATCTTGTCAGCACCTCTCAGTGCACTTTGTCATGATCTGTCATTGTAAGTTTAGTCTTTTGTATTGCATAATAACAGCGGCAGTAGGGGACTAAACAGGACACATTTGGCTGCAGGGACATCTGCTGGCCGAGTGTCACTAATAATGCAGTCTGATTCTGTTCTTCACCTCCAGCTGTGCCGCAGTCCATTCATGTGCCAAACATCACATTTATGTGCTTAGCATGTGTCTAAATGTGTGGCTGCGTGTGCTTTGAGAAACACTGCATAAGAGAAACCTTGAAACCCAAAAGGAGATGTTTAGCAGAATGTCCGAGCTGCTTTTTTCCACACATTGCTAATGGATATGTATGTGTGTGTGTTTTTATTATTTTTTTTGCAATGTACATATTTAAAGATTAGCTTCCAAATCAAATTTATGCTTGCAAACTTTTACGTTTTGACTAAAAACTTGGTACATCTTGTCTTGAGGCGACAAGTTTGAGTGTTTGCAAGTGTAAATGAGATTTGAAAGCTATGACAGAAAATCTTCCTTTGAATAATTTAATATTATTCCATTAAATAATATTGATTGATTGACTTAATTAGCCATGTATAAACCAACAATATTTGACGTTTTTGACTTGGAACAACTGGTCTCGAGGCAGCAGGTTTGAATGTGGAAAAGTGTGAGATTCGAGAGCTACAGCAGAGAATTTTTCATTGAATAATGTTTGTTTTTTTCCCCTGAACTTTTGTTTTTTTTTTAGTATTTGCATCCAGAAAAGCTGGAATATAGCATATGGACCACTTTTATGATACTTTATGGTGCTTCTAAGTGCTTTAAAATTACAAAAAGGATGCCCTTTAAAAGTGTGAGTAACTGGCTAAAATATTCGCTGTTATTCACTGAAAATATTGACATGCTTTCCTTGGAAGAGACGTAGCGATATCTAATACCAGATTTTTTTTATTTTTTTTTTTTATTTTAAGATATTTTCAATTAATCATTTAAATTGGTTTTCGAATCAGACTGAACCGATTCAGCCCACTGTAGGTCTGAATTCTTCATTGATAATGACTTAATTTTTGGTCTTTAACTCAAAAGTATGGTTTGGATTCAAAAGAGTTGAAACACCGTATATAGAGCACTTTTATGGTAATTTTGATTCATTTTTGAAGCCTGTTGGCAATGTGAAGTCCATTTTCCTTGTATGGAAAAGAGCAGCTTAGACATTCTGCAAAATATCTACATTTGGGTTCCACTGAAGGAGGAAAGTCATACAGGTTTGGAGCGATAACGCTAAGTTTTGGGTGAAATATAGCCTACCTTTAACATCCCCAGAATATGTTGTACTTTCAAAGGCAAGGTTAGTAGCAAAGCATTACCCCTTCAAAGAAAATATTATGTTCCTGTAGTGTTTTATAATGAGGGATTTGTACCTTCAGCGGCTGCTGATGCTGGAGCAGCTCTCGGCAGGATCTTGATGCGTGGCATGTTTAAAGAGCTTCTCTGTCTCTCCTCTGCTCTGCCTCTCCCCCCTCCTCCTCAGCTGTCACCCCCCCTCTCTCTCCTTCCGTGGTGTCGCCTCGTCCGCGCCGCCTTTCGCTTAAGAGGTTTTCTCTGTTCTCGCGTTTCCCAGGTAAATGCCCTGCATGCTGGGTGCTAACTCAGGGATGTAGGGGTAGCTAACAGGGGGGCAGTGTGGGACAGGAGCTAGTTTAAAAGGCAAAAAAATAACCTTTATCATGCTATGACCTGTTGTCCAGCAAGTTCACATTTTATTAATTTATTTATGTATATATTAACAGTGATTTAAAAGCTGTTCTAAAGCCTAGACAGCAATTTTAGGCATTGTATTAAATGCAATAAAAATACATTTAAGTTCTGCATAGAATATCAATAGAAAATATTTCCAGCTGATTAAAAATGCACATGCAAAATTTATTTTTAGGAAATATTCAGTATTTTCCAATTGCAAATTGAATTCAAAACATTCAAACTTGACACAAATTAGCCACAAGAATTGCAAAAACAAAAAATTTGACATCATTGATATCAAACTTATCACAACTAGTCTTGAGATGGCAGGTTTAAATGTGTGCGAGCATAAGATTCGAGCGCTACAGCAGACAATTTTCAGTAAATAATGCCGTTTATTTTCTTTTCCACCCCTCACACAGAATTATTGTTTGCATTCAGAAGAGCTGAAATATGGCATATGGCTATAGCATATAACTTTTATGGTACTTTTATGGTTCTTTTAGTCCTTTCAAGTTACAAAAATAATACAATAATAATGGCTGAAATTATTTTGTGACTTGCAAAACCTAGACACAATTTTAGACATTGTCTTGTTCAAGTTGAGCTTTATTGTCATTCTGCTGCATGTAAGGACATACAGTGGAATGAAATGTCGTGCCTCACAGGACCACGGTGTTACATAAATACAAGCATACAACAGTGAAGTAAAGCAGTAAAAACCTATACACAACTAACCTACTGACTGATTTTGATTATAAATATACTATATACATATATATAAATGTTTACCTATACATAAGTTAAAAAATACAGACTATACGGATGCTTCAATAATAATGGCTGAAATTATTTTGCTACGGATACACTTGTAGTGTATTGTAATAAAAATAAATTTTATTACTGTATAAAATATTGATAGAAAAGAGTTCCATCTAAATAAAAAATGCACACGCAAAATGTATTTTTCTCTGTTTATTAGGAAATACTGAAAAGTAGAATATAGTTCTTAATGAAAAAAAGTTAACTTTCATCCAGCATTTGTGTGCATAAAGTGTTTATTTGTTTTAGTTTTGAGTTGTTAGCTTTGCAACATAATTATTGAAATCAACTGTGAGCGTTAGCTTATATGCATGATGTGGCATGTGACACACATACACAGTTTTTAATGACCGTGTTATTAAAATGGAAGCTTGCTGGACTGGTTGACTCTGACATCGACCTCTTGAGCTCAGTCTTTGAAGAGCTCTTCTACTCTAACCACTAACACACTCACCCTGCTGCCTGTCCATCACACCTGACCTCCTGCACCTGAACACAACATTCACACCAACCTGAAGATTCAGTCCTGCTCCATTCTGAGTTGCCTTAGTATCAGAATATACTAGAAAATGTGCCATGAGTGTTGTGAGGCTGTTTGTGATGTCAAGATGAAACGGGAGCGTCGTTGTTTGAATGAAAAAATGCATTATAAATTATATTACTATAATTATACATGATCAGTGTCAAATACTTGTAGTGCAGTGTTATCAACTAAACCTAAACCAATAGCTTGTTAACTGGGGGATATATATATATATATATATATATATATATATATATATATATATATATATATATATATATATA